ATATATATATATATATATATATATATATATATATATATATATATATATATATATATATGAGAGAGAGAGAGAGAGAGAGAGAGAGTTTTCTAAGACAAATAAAACAAAAGAATATAATCGTATGTCTGAAGAGTTGCAAATAAAATTGAGTGTTGAGCTAAACAAAATAGCATGTTATGTAATGACCCGGATGACAAACATTTCAATGAAGAAATAAACAACATGGCGCTAATAGTATGTCTGTGGGTTGACAACTTAGAAGATAAATATACTACTAGTCACAGTCCCAGAGGGACTGTGTACTAGTAGATAATTCAGTTTCCAAGATCTTTTCCCTCAAACAGTCTACGTTGTAGTTGCCCAACGACATATGATTTCATTACTAATTCAAATCAGTTTCATTTTCCATTTGAAACAAAGAACTCGTGTAAATATTTCAAACATAAGTAAATTACAAGGGTGCACAACATAGCAAACGCTGTTGTCCTTGTTTGGGCATTCTGAGAAGAAGTGTGATAAATTATAAGCCATTGTATTGTAAGCCAAGTACCCCGTCTATAGCCAATAGCTATTTAAAAGTTTCAATAACGATTTTCCGCATTCCTCATCAGAAATAGCGGTTTTTTATGCTTGAAAGGACGCTTCCACGTGTCTTGATTTTTAAGGATTATATTCAGTTTCATCTTCGGTGAACCCATTTCAAATTAACATCGTGGCGGGAAAAAAACTACTTTTACACTACGTTCCCGTTGCTACACATTTAAATAAACTCATATCGGCCATGTGTTTAATAACAATGAAAATAAACTAGAATCACACAATTACCCCCGTTGTACCTGTTCAATATATTTACATGTACTGACATTCGAATCATGTTGTTTCGTGTATACATTAATATATAGACAAACACAGAAAACAAAAACTGTACTTCCGTCATGGTCGTGACATACAACCCAGGAGAATAGATAGATGAGTCCAGTGGCGGATCCAGCAAAATGTATGGGGGGGGGGGGGTTCCAAGCTTCGCTTAATATATACGGAGCGTAAATCGCAGAGAAGCTATGCTTAATCCAGATGGCGTGAATCGTCATGCGTTTGGGGGGGGGGGCATGGGGGCCATGGGGGCCTCTGAATCCGCCACTGGATGAGTCCACATTCAATTTGCAAACACAGAAGATGTGTTTGCAACCACGATGCCGCACATGGAAAACCTTATCAGTCGTATTCTAAAAAAGAAAAGAAAACAAAACAGTTTTTTTCGAATCTAACAAATGTATATTAACAAGACACAATGATAGAGAAATATTTATTTGACTAATAATTGTTTGCTTGCGATTTCTGGCTAAAGACAACTCGTTGGCAACTATAGCGCCCTCTTTGCTGGGTATCGTATGCGTCTGAATCGAGCCCTGTATTTTTCAAAGGACTATGGCCTGGTATGATAAAGATAATATTTACGAAACACATTCGCCAACTCAACCATTTTTCCACGCCATATTGGATTTTTTTTTACACAACAAAGGCGGTGAATGATGTTGTTACACCGAAACGTAAGCGGACGGTAAACTCAAGTTGGATCCACGAGCATCTAACTTTAAAATAGCCTTTCATGGAATCGCAAGTAAAGTTAGTTGGCTGTGTTGTTTCCTATGTATATCAAGGGACCGGGGGTATTTAAATATCATACTTATTCTATTATTTCGTAATGTGTGTGTGGAATTAAGTATTATATTTTTCGGTTTATCATTAATCTTACTATTATCTAAGGATGGAACGCAAATTTAACAAAACGTGTGCAAATTTAATTATTGGTAATTATTAGTAATTATTTATTTAA